TGTCATTGAAAATCAATAAGTGGAGCCGAGTAGGAAATGCAATTAGATTAATGCATGACTATAACATAGTCATGGCATTCGTAAAAATAGTGAGTAGAGTTTCAGATCTCTCGTTACATAATCTGGTTTTAATCTAATGTTATTTGTTAGTTGGAAATTAAAAGATATTTTTGTTTTCTTCATCATAGTTATAGTTGTCATACCTTCTAAAAAGATGATCTAATATTTATGATCTAATACACCTTTTTACATAGATTGCTGTAACTTACACCACAGCATTTCTAAATCTAATGTCTACTTTGAGCATAGTATTTCATAACCGCTTTTACGGTTATGCTTTACTGTTGAACTGTTGTTTCTTTAATAATTATCGGTTTATTTTTTTTTCATTAATAACAAACCTTGAGTTTTAAAGTGAGCGTGTAAGGTTAAAATTTTGCTGATGGAAATTTTAAATTTGAACTCCAAACATATCCTTCAGTACACATCACTGTATTTGTCCTAATATATAATATAATACTTGATTATATTATGGAGAAATTATATCTCCTACAACAAATTGTATAACTTTTTACATAGTTCTCTCAAAATTCTGTAATGAAATGTTATTAGGTTTGCACGTTTATTAAGCTTAATGCCTTTAAAACATTGTCTTGAAATGTATATAAAGGTTAACATTTTCTACTGAAAGTCAAAGAACAGCTGTAAAATTCAGCCTATTTTTAGATAGGAGACTTTAAATTAAAATTTCACATTCAAATTATCACATATCAGCCATAGCATACTTAAACAGTAATACTTCACCTCATTTAGGATGCTACAAAAATAGCATTTGTTTTTTTCTGTCAATAGACTCAAGAAAAGATCTCGTAGAACAGGGATGTGGAACTTCTGGTCATTGGACTAAGTTATTTATGTAATCTTGAAAATCCTTCTTGTCATTGCTGTTCCCCTCCTCTCTTTTACATCCTCCTAATTTGATCATTTAAGGATATGAAGAAGTTTTCCTCTGTTACAGAAGTTGTCATTGAGTACTTGCTGATTTTCCTTCTATAACCGTTACTCGTGTTGGAAAACTATTATGCAAACATTAAGGAACTTACAGCATATGTTCAGTTCTCTGTTTTTAAGTGCAAGTTAAGAAAATATAACTGGTGAACTTATTTTTACATTATACAGTACAAGCTCATTTCCATGTGTATTTCTAGAGACAAACATTCCTTGACTTAGTTCTTATATGGGCAAGGATTTGTAGTTAATCAGAAATTACATCTGCTGTAGTATCCTAAATTGATATACTGGATTGAATTGCCTAGCTCTGCCTAGTTTAATATTCTCTTGCTATTAAAATAATAAACATACAAGGGACTTCCAGTTTGCGTTGCAGCGGAACAGGATGCAGGAAGGCAGAGCTCTGCCTTCCATGCTCGATTTCGCCCTGCTTGGGGCCCTGAAAAGGGCCTAAAATCGCCCCGAAGAGGCAATGAAGAGAAGGGTGCCTTGTCGATCATGGAGAGACGGCGGTTTTTCCATTCGATCTAAGGAAAGCCCTCCTATGGCTGCCATTAGCTGCTGACAACCAAAGGAGAAAAAGCACTACTTAAGTCATCGTAAACTGGGTGAGAATATTTTCTTTACTATTTTACAACTGAATTTCCTGGGAAAGGCTCCCAAGAAGCTAAAACCCTCCAAATGTGAACAGAAGCAGCATTTTAATTTTATGGGGGACAGAAACACACAATATTGAAGTGGAAGTAACATAAAGCTACAGTTTCGATAAATTTGAAAATTGAGATAACTGTTAAGATTTTCTCTTTGGAAAAAAATGAGACCAAATATAAGAAATCAATCCTTTGTTTTAAGAGTGGAAAATGGACTTTAAGTGACATCTAGTGGTGGATTTGTGTATAGCGCCATAATTTGCTTTGCTTGGTGATTCCTACCTTGGGAGACACAGCTGGCAATAAAGGAAAATATTTTGGCATACTTATCATCCTGATCTTCTTGGATTATAAATGGATTGGATTTTTAATTTTAAGAGCTAGTGGGAGAGAAAGAAAAAATTGACCTTGGACTATGCCAGGCTGGGAGAGACTTTTGAGCTGTTTTTAGAGAGATTGAATATTTTGAACATTTTGAACATTGTGGATTACAGTCTTGCCTGATTGACAATTTTGGGGATACTTGAGACAAGGGATTACTATAAAATATTGCTTTCAGAACTGAACCTATACTTTGGAATCTATTGGATTATAAAGGATACATTTAAAGACCAGAAAACTAATCTCCAGGAATGATGCCTCAAGAAAAAAACTAAATACCTTTCAGAAAGAAATATATTCTATGCTACAACTAATTCACCAAACAATTGTTGAATGCAAAGAGGACATAAAAAGAAATCATAATGAGATTAAAAACAATTTAGACAATATAAACGAGCAAATCTCCAAATTAAATCTACAACTAGAAAGCTCCCAGAAAATGATTACAAAATATGAACAAACAACCCAGAAATCAGAAGTCGTAACAGAGGAAATGGATTTAGAGATGGAAGAGATAAAAGCAGGGAAATACAAACGATTATATAAAACAAAATACTTCAAGACTTAGCTATAACAACAAACACACAAAAGATCTTTTACCCCTCAGGTCTGCAAAATATATCTGATGGCAAGGAAAAAGATTTTAAAAAGGGGAATATAGAGCTGTTAAGGGAAATGTCACAATTTGGGAGACAGGGATTGAAAAGAGAAATGGAGGGGAAAAGGAACTGGGAGTTGTTTAAGGAATATAAATGGACGGAATCCCCCCCCCCCCCCCAATTGTCTTCCTCATCTCAAGCAATTTTTGCAAAAACAGAAAGAAAATTCTTGGGCGATCTAATTGCCCTGGCTTGGAAAGTGACTTGGCGAAGAAAGAAAGCAAGAGTCAAATTTAAAAAACAGAAGATTTGACCTTTTAGAGGGGGCATTATATGTTTAAATATTTCTTTGAATAAGATTAAAAGAACAGAAGACCCTTAGATATAATTAGACCTTTATAATGAAAGATATGATTTAGAATTAAGATAGCATTTTTTCCTCTCTTTTCTGATATGGGAAATATGAAGATAAGAGGAGGATTAATTTGAATAAAACTTCAGCTATATAAATGTAATTAATATTGAGACAATCATGGACTTCCGGTGGCAGGCGTCTTCGTCGGTCGCAGCTGTTTGCTGCCTCCCGCCTGTTTCGCGTAAAAGCCGGTTTGACAGCTAGCATCAGCTGTCAAACGGCTTGATACCTTTCCCCTGGGCATAAGGGGATAGGTGAGCTGCCCGGGGTAGGAGTTGAGTTCCCGAGTCGTCCTATATGGACGATGTAGGTGAGANGATAAAATATCAGAGTAAATGTGTAGGGTGGTAGCTAGAAGAAACTGTATTTTGTCACGCACAAGTCTGATAACGCAGCACAGGATTGGATTTTATACCACCTTGCCCATGTTTCCATGAAGTCAACAGGTGTGATTTATCGGCCATACATTTTTAATTTGTTCATAAAAACATGAATCAAGAAGGAGCTATAGGAAATATTGGTGCAAAATTCTCTCCTGATCAAGATGCCAAAGAGCCTTGCTTTTTGTCAATACACTGTACATATAGTCCTTGTTTAACAACCACAGTTGGGATTAGGATCTCAGTCACTGAGTGAAGCAGTTATTAAGTGAGATATCAGGTAATCACTTCACTCAACAACTGCAGTCTTGGGACTCCCAGTTGCAGTTGTTAAATTATCTTGCAGGTTGTTAAGCAAATGGCGTCCCGGGTAACGAGGGTGTAGAGCTTCAGGAGGGTGGGAGAAACTCTGGGAGGCCCAGCACAGGCTGTGCATGATGGTCTCTGCTCTCCTCCCTGTAAAAATCCAATCAGGATTTTCAACTCTTAAGCAGAGAGACACTCACATGTGGCCTGTACCAGGCGTCCCCCATCCACCTCTGGCACCTTGCGCTCCTTACTGTATCTTGCTATGCTGCCTCTCTGCTCGGGAGCTAAATCCTCCCTGCCAAATTCCAAGCAGGATTTTCAGCTGCTGAGTAGGGAGACAATTGTGTGTGGCAGGCACCAGACTGCGCAGGGCCTCCTCTATCCCAAGGGACCCTTTAGTCCATACTGCCTCTCCGCTCTGGGGTTATAAAACCTGCTTGGATTTTGAAATGGACTTTTTTCAGTCAGCCACCATAGACAAGAGAGCTCTCTCTCTCTCTCATTTCTTGGGGCTGGTTGCAAACAACCCATTCTGCAAATATTCTGTGCCAAAATTCTGCTTGAATTTTTGGGACTGTTTTCAGCCACTTCCCAGAAATGAGACGGAATCATTTAGGCACGCAGCAGTGGTTTGGCCATTGATTTTCTGGGAAAAGGAAGATTTTAAATAGCACTCACATGATCGCAAGGAGCTTGGCAACCAGTTGTAAGTGTATACAAGTGCCCAAATCACAATCACGTGATCATGGGGGCACTGCAACAACTATAATTTGGGTCATAAGTCCCTTTGTTCAGCATCTGTGGTAATTTCAAATGGTCATTGAATGAACTTTCATTAAGCCAGTAGTATATTCTGTCTCTGCACTTTCCCCACAGTAAATCAGAATTCAGGGTCTTTGGCTAATTCTTGGTTGATTTCAGTTTAGGGCAATTTTTATAAAGTTGGTATTTTTATAGAAACTCAGGTTGTAAGGGCACTTTCAAGATCTTATATTCATTTCACTATTTTTATAGCCGCCTGGGCTATCAAGTGATAATTTGTATAGTAAATTGTCATTAATATTATATTCTCTGGCTCTGTGCTTTAAAACTGGTGGTATAGATAGTATTTCAGTCTTGTAAAGCCCTGTGCTAATATTAGATCATGGAAAAAACAGATCTGATTTGTTCTCTAGTTTTGATGACGTTTGTTTTAAAGAATATTTTGGTGAGACGTGCTGTTTATTTTTAATTTTCTTTTGTTTTTGGGTTACAGGCCACTTGTCTCCAGAAGCAAGGTAAGCTATGATTTTTTTTTCTTGGCATAGGTTTGCTATTAAATGATTGAGTGTTCTTTAAAAGAATTTACTTCCCCATAACACGTGCAACATAAACATGAAAACAAGGATATTTATAATGCAAATGTTATTTTACTTTTCAGCTCATAAATAAAGAAATATCCTTCAGATGTGAACAGTTCATAAGTTTAATGGCATCTGAAGATTTAAAAGAACAAAGTACTTCTACATGGGATTCAGGTATCTGTCCTATACATTACTTTAGCTTAAGTTAAAGAAAAATGTCATTGTTTGAAAATTATTCATTTGGAAGAATAATCAACCTTTTTTAATCAGAAGGAAAAAAAAGGAATTATATCTTGATGACTTTTTTGTAGGAAAAAAGACTATGTGGGCAATGGCTTTAAAGAGTACTTGTTATTTTCCAGTATTAAATATTACAGAAGAAAGGTATACAGTTATTAATGAAACTGGCAGGGAATTGAAAAAGATTAAAATTATTGAGTAATAGCATGCAAAAGTGTCTTCTGAATGTATTTTTGTAATGTTTTGTAATGTAATGTTTTATGAGGTTTATGTGTCTTTTCATGGTAACAGCCTTCTACAAATGTCATTAGTAATTAAGTTGTATAAATTGGACAGATGTAACCAGAGATAGGTTACACATTGCCTCTGAACTAATTTTATGCTACTACAACCACAGCTGCAACAACAACCAAAAAAAACAAACAGTGGCATGTTTCCAGCTATTTTGAAGTGAGAAACACATGAAAACCCATGAAATAGATTTAATATAATTTTAGAAAATAACAAATGCTTCCATCAAAACAGGAAAACAAAATAGAAAACCAAGGCCACAAATATGACATAGGTTCACCTACATTATCAATCCAGCCATTATAGCTCTTGTTTTTCCTCAAATATACAATATATTTCCTGGCATTTAAAAAATGTCCTATCCAAGTATAGATAGTGCATCCATTGCAATAATAACTTTGTCATTGAAAATCAATAAGTGGAGCCGAGTAGGAAATGCAATTAGATTAATGCATGACTATAACATAGTTATGGCATTCATAAAAATAGTGAGTAGAGTTTCAGATCTCTCCTTACATAATCTGGTTTTAATCTAATGTTATTTGTTAGTTGGAAATTAAAAGATATTTTTGTTTTCTTCATCACAGTTATAGTTGTCATACCTTCTAAAAAGATGATCTAATATTTATGGACACTTTTTTACATAGATTGCTGTAACTTACACCACAGCTTTTCTAAATCTAATGTCTACTTTGAGCATAGTATTTCATAACCGCTTTTACGGTTATGCTTTACTGTTGAACTGTTGTTTCTTTAATAATTATCGGTTTATTTTTTTTTCATTAATAACAAACCTTGAGTTTTAAAGTGAGCATGTAAGGTTAAAATTTTGCTGATGGAAATTTTAAATTTGAACTCCAAACATATCCTTCAGTACACATCACTGTATTTGTCCTAATATATAATATAATACTTGATTATATTGTGGAGAAATTTTATCTCCTACAACAAATTGTATAACTTTTTACATAGTTCTCTCAAAATTCTGTAGTGAAATGTTATTAAGTTTGCACGATTATGAAGCTTAATGCCTTTAAAACATTGTCTTGAAATGTATATAAAGGTTAACATTTTCTACTGAAAGTCAAAGAACAGCTGTAAAATTCAGCCTATTTTTAGATAGGAGACTTTAAATTAAAATTTCACATTCAAATCTATCACATATCAGCCATAGCATACTTAAACAGTAATATTTCACTTCAGTTAGGATGCTACAAAAATAGATCATTTTTGTTTTTTTCTGTCAATAAGACTCAAGAAAAGATCTCGTAGAACAGGGATGTTGAACTTCTGTCATTGGACTAAGTTATTTATGTAATCTTGAAAATCCTTCTTGTCATTGCTGTTCCCCTCCTCTCTTTGACATCCTCCTAATTTGATCATTTAAGGATATGAAGAAGTTTTCCTCTGTTACAGAAGTTGTCATTGACTACTTGCTGATTTTCCTGCTATAACTGTTACTCATGTTGGAAAACTATTCTGCAAACATTAAGGAACTTACAGCATATATTCAGTTCTCTGTTTTTAAATGCAAGTTAAGAAAATATAACTGGTGAACTTATTTTTACATTATACAGTACAAGTTCATTTCCATGTGTATTTCTAGAGACAAACATTCCTTGATTTAGTTCTTATATGGACAAGGATTTGTAGTTAATCAGAAGTTACACCTGCTGTAGTATCCTAAATTGATACACTGGATTAAATTGCCTAGCTCTACCTAGTTTAATATTCTCTTGCTATTAAAATAATAAACATACAAGGGACTTCCAGTTTGCGTTGCAGCGGAACAGGATGCAGGAAGGCAGGGTTCTGCCTTCCATGCTCGATTTCGCCCTGCTGGGGGCCCTGAAAAGAGCCTAAAATCACCCCGAAGAGGCAATGAAGAGGAGGGTGCCTTGTCGATCATGGAGAGACGGCGGTCTTTCCATTTGATCTAAGGAAAGCCCTCCTATGGCCGGCCATTAGCTGCTGACAACCAAAGGAGAAAAAGCACTACTTAATTTATCGTAAACTGGGTGAGAATATTGATCCTTTCTTTACTATTTTACAATTTCCTGGGAAAGGGTCCCAAGAAGCTAAAACCCTACAAATGTGAACAGAAGCAGCATTTTAATATTATGGGGGACAGAAACACACAATATTGAAGTGGAAGTAACATAAAGCCACAGTTTCGATAAATTTGAAAATTGAGATAACTGTTAAGATTTTCTCTTTGAAAAACAAAATGAGGCGAAATATAACAAATCAATCCTTTGTTTTAAGAGTGGAAAATGGACTTTGAATGACATCTAGTGGTGGATTTGTGTATAGCACCATAATTTGCTTTGCTTGGTGATTCCTACCTTGGGAGAACAGCTGGCAATAAAGGAACATATTTTAGCATACTTATCATCCTGATCTTCTTGGATTATAAATACATACTGAGCTTGGATTTTTAATTTTAAGAACTAGTGGGAGTGAAAGAAAAATTTGACCTTGGACTATGCCAGGCTGGGAGAGACTTTTGAGCTGTTTTTAGAGAGGTTGAATATTTTGAACATTTCCAACATTGTGGATTACAGTGTTGCCTGATTGACAATTTTGGGGATACTTGAGACAAGGGATTACTATAAAATGTTTCTTTAAGAACTGAACCTATACTTTGGAATCTATTGGATTATAAAGGATACATTTAAAGACCAGAAAACTAATCTCCAGGAATGATGCCTCAAGAAAAAAAATAAACACCTTTCAGAAAGAAATATATTCTATGCTACAACTAATTCACCAAACAATTGTTGAATGCAAAGAGGACATAAAAAGAAATCATAATGAGACTAAAAACAATTTAGACAATATAAACGAGCAAATCTCCAAATTAAATCTACAACTAGAAAGCTCCCAGAAAACGAGTACAAAATATGAACAAACAACTCAGAAATCAGAAGTCGTAACAGAGGAAATGGATTTAGAGATGGAAGAGATAAAAGAAGGGAAATACAAACGATTATATACAAACAAAATACTGCAAGACTTAGCTATAGCAACGAAAACACAAAAAATCTTTTACCCCTCAGGTCTGCAAAATATATCTGATGGCAAGGAAAAAGATTTTAAAAAAGGGAATATAGAGCTGTTAAGGGAAATGTCATAATTTGAGAGACAGGGATTGAAAAGAGAAATGGAGGGAAAAAGGAACTGGGAGTTGTTTAAGGAATATAAATGGACGGAATTCCCCCCCAATTGTCTTCCTCATGTCAAGCAATTTTTGCAAAAACAGAAAGAAAATTCTTGGGCGATCTAATTGCCCTGGCTTGGAAAGTGACTTGGCGAAGAAAGAAAGCAAGAGTCAAATTTAAAAAACAGAAGATTTGACCTTTTAGAGGGGGCATTATATGTTTAAATATTTCTTTGAATAAGATTAAAAGAACAGAAGACCCTTAGATATAATTAGACCTTTATAATGAAAGATATGATTTAGAATTAAGATAGCATTTTTTCCTCTCTTTTCTGATATGGGAAATATGAAGATAAGAGGAGGATTAATTTGAATAAAACTTTCAGCTATATAAATGTAATTAATATTGAGACAATCATAACTGATAAAGGCATTTCAAATACTGATGGGAAATCAAACTTTAACAAGAACACAATTGATTAATGAATTGGCATTATTGATTTATGAATTGATGTTATTGTTATTTGTATGGTATTAGAAAAATATGATGAAGATGCTTATATCTAACGCTGTGTACATTAACAGTACCAAAAATTGTAATGGTGTAATGAAGGGAAAATGGAAAAAATATGGAGAAGAAAGGAAGATCAGGGGAAAAATACTGGATTGTGTAGTATTGAACAGATTTATATTGAAGAAGTTAATGTTAATGTTGTTTACTAAGCACTAAAGACTGCAATTTTTAAAAATTAAGAAAACTTCTATTAAAAAAATAAAATAATAACCGTACAAGATTATACCACTATTCTCTCCCTCAGCTAGTTGGGAGATATCCTGTGATAACTGGTATAGAATTTTTGACTTCTCTTCCTCTGCCTCTGTCTTTATTGCACTGGTATCTTAATGAGTTTTCTATATATTTCATTTATAAGCAACATAAACAGTGGTTCATGCATTGGATTCAAATTATACATACCAACATTGCACTTCAGGCACAGCCTGCGTAAACATTAAGACAACACTCCATGCAAAGTTAGGCTCAGTTATTTTAATGGGATCTGGCTATTTTAAATCTTGATATTAAAATTAATGAATCAGAGCCATTGCTGTCAAGGATAATTTGTTCAAGCATTACTGACGGTGTTGTCAGATGTTTTGTTGTTTTTTTTCCTCTCAGTGTTTTTGTGCTGAATCACCTCTAAATGCTTCAATTCTTTTTCCATTTCATCTAGATACTCAGAGCCGGCCAAGTACTGAAACAAAGAAAAAGAATCATCACAAAGAAAGAGAGAGGGATGAAAGTTTCCAGTCTGAAAGCTGTTGTCTGATTAAGGAAAAAGAAAGGCTTCACATATCCGGGAGGAAACACCATCTCCAGGAGCAGCTCTGCAATACTGAACCCACACTGAATCAGCCATTTGNCATTAGTTTGGACAGATGCTGATTATATACCTCCTGATCTTATAGCCACCGATGAAAATATTCCATCTGAAAGAAACTTACTGAGGACAAAAAGCTGTTCTAGCTCTGTGGTGATTGCGGGTAGCCAGTTGGAAAGCAGCATAGTAAATCAGCTGCTGCAGCAGCAGCCTGATTATGAAAATAACAGGAAATCTGTGCAGAACCAAACATCAGACATCAGTGGGAATGTACAGTTTGACACTGAGATGTCCAAACAGCCCAGAGTTATATATGAATGGATACAGGAAGAAACAACAATACTGGAAGAAAAAGGTGAAAGTGAGGGGTCAGAAGGCTTCTTTGAACAGATTTTGAACGGTACCATAAAAGTTAGAGAAGGGGCTCTTAAATTTCTGGAAACCCAAGAGGACTCTGAAATTCTTCCACATATTCCACCTGAACAAGCACTTTATTCTTCGTCGGAAGATTATTCACCAGATGAAAATTTTTCTTCACTTGATGAGCTTGCAAAACGAATACAGATTGCAGAGGTAAATATTGGGAAAAAAAACTTTTTTCATGTTATCATGATTCATGTTTGCACTGTGTTTATTTATTTTCTTTAGCATGTAAAACAGCTGAAGAGAAAGTTTGTGATACTTGCATGACTTTCCCAGCGTTGAATATGCACTTTGGAAAAAATAGATTTCAGTGGACAAAAATGAACTGGTGACTTTTGGATTTACCTGTTAAAATGAGCTGATATGAGGAGTAGGGAACTATGCTGTGTAATTTTGAAGATGGAAATTGTATTAATTATTTCTATAACTGCTGTAAAGAAGATCAGAAGTCACTTCTTTAAGTATTTTTTCCTTTTTCTCTCGCTTTTTTGTTTACTTTATCTTTTTTTCTATTTTTTCATGATTTACTTTGTAAAATATTTCTTTAATAAAAATTATATTTAAAAAAGAAAAAAAAATAGATTTCCATCTAAAAAGCAGACATATTGGCATACATTAATTTTCCTATTTCTGATCACAAACATTCTGAGATATCCCAGATTCACATTTCACTTTTATTGCCATTCTCTATTGTTCCTTTTAACCTCTATGATTTAAAAAAATGTTTTCTTATAACCTCCTGATAGAATAGATGCAGCTGCTAGGCCAGATATTGCTTTTCAAAAAATGAGATATTAAGACAGAACATGCTATTCTTTCATTGCTGACCGATTTTATTGTGGTCACTTCACGTTTCTGGAAGTGTTAACTGTTGTTTTTCTAATAAGAAGGCTGCTTTATTTCATTGGACTTTTCCCTAGAGTTGCTGGTTTGCCTGTTTATTTATTGCAAATGTTCTTATATCACTTAAATCAATTCCTGTCTTCCTAAGTTTATTTCTTTAAAATAAATAAACAAACAAACAATTAATGTAAGCGGAATTTAGAATGAAGAACTTGTTAAGCCTTTTTTAAAACTTTAACCCTATTTTTCTTGTGAAGATGAACTTGTAGCTATGAGAGTGTGTATTTCAAAGTGTTGAAAGGACGTGTGATATATATATATCAAAGTATATATTTGTTCCCAAATCTTGGATGGGAAAGAAGAATGCCAGATAATATTTCCAACTACTTGGTAGAATGTGCATTGTAGTTGCTAAAATTTCATAAAACTAAGATAGCTTATTCTGAATTTTAAAGCTGATTCTGTTTTTTAAAACCTAGCAAACACTATGATTTTCTTAGAAAAATGAAGAATGCCCTAATCAGTCTTTTGAAAAGTTCTATTCAATGGATTGTATGTAAAACTCCTGATTTCACTATTCTTCTACCTCTCCAATGTTGTTTTTTACATACTGTAAATAATGTTTTTGAGAAACTTTAATTTCTAAAACCATGTTTTAACCATTCTAACCACCTTACAATCTATTTACTCATGTGTTTTTCTCACTTTCTCATCTTGTGTTTACTGCAAGCACAAGAATTGATGATACAGTGCTCTAATGGGAAATCTTATGTAATTCTTAGCTCTGTGTTGCTGTTCTTTGAGCTCTGAATTTATCACAGGGAGACATTGGTCTTTAAAGAGAGCACAGAATGTATCTTGCATCATTCAATAGCAATCTCTGCAGGCCAAATATGGAATAATATGAGCTGTCTCTAGAGGGAGCTTGCTCCTCTGGCTGTGACAGCTGGAAAATGAACTTTAAAGAGATGTAAAATATGGGAAAGCAAAAGGGATGGGATAGAGTTTAGATTTTCATTAAAGTAGAACTATAGTGTTTTACTGTGCAAGATTATTACCACTAATGGATATGCATGTTGGATAATATAAATATTTATTTTATGTAGATTTCCTAAAATTGAGAACTTATTATTCTGGGACACTTTCTGAGCTGTACTACAACAAGCAAGCCCACTGCTGATCAGCATAGCCACTACTGATCCAAATCTCTTCCTTATGCTCATTATTGTTGGCTAGTCCAGGGGTAGGCAACCTTGGCTCTTTTATGACTCGTGGACTTCAACTCCCAGAATTCCTGAGCCAGCATGGCTCAGCTTGAAAACCTCTCCCTTTCCCCTCAGCATGGCTGGCTCAGGAATTCTGGGAGTTGAAGTCCACGAGCCATAAAAGAGCCAAGATTGCCTACCCCTGGGCTAGTCCCTTCTCCAGACATATCTGCCGTGATAAAAAAAACTGAAGAAGTAGTAGTCTCCATTTATTTTGCCCCTTCTCCTAAGCAATGCTGTGGATTCTCCCTACAGGGAGACAGATTATGAAGGAATGTGTGATCTCTGTTTTAAAAAGGAGAGTTGGATTTTAATATTACAATCAGGAATGCCAATGAAAATTCTACTGACATGTTGAGAGGAATCTGACCTTTGCTCCTGATCTTGGTGTCTAGATTGCTTTGCTTGATGCATCTGAGTTGTGCATAAAGCACTTAATACTTTCTCTTGCAATTATAATAAAATGTTGCACAATATTTCAGTTGGCTGTCTATTAAAATGGATTCATGTCCATGTTTTGCATAAAAACACATCTTGGCATGAAGAGAAACAGCAGAATAGAAACCCCAATTCATAGCCATGCATTAAAAAAAACCTTTCAAAGAGATAACTTAAGCCAATGTCTAGTTATACCCAGCTTTTATACAATATGCAAGGCTTTTGTCTGCCCCTCCTCAGCCCTCCTTCCAAAATGTCCTTGATATGACACTATATATGTTACCATGTCACCAAATGTCAACAATGACGGCCATTAAATTTCATTTGATTTTGGAGAAGTCACATTAAAAAAATCAGAGTTTACAGCTGCCAGAATTCAGCAGTGTTATTACAGTTGCATCAACCTTGTCCAGCACTAGTCTTTTCTAAAAGAGAGATGTTTTCTTGCTTCCTTTGTATTTTTATGGTTTAATGTACAATCTGCCAGATGTTCAGAGTGGATTTGGCATCTTTCTCCACCCATCAAGTCCTTCCCAAGGACCTGGGATAGGCAGATGTGGACATTTGATGGTGTTAAAGGTATTGTAAGATGTAAGCTGTTCCAAGTAAAGCTGCCTCTTGTGATTGTCTGATGGTGGCTTTGTCACTCAGAGGGACTTACAGTAATGGAAAGATACAGGGTAAAAACATAACACCAAAGTCAATACTTTTAAAGACAGAATTAAAATCAGTATAATTAAAATCAATTAATAGGTAATAGCTTGGCTGTCTTTAGTTGTTCCTTGTGTTGCCCTCTTTCTAACATCCAGAGGTCTTTGTACATCCTTTCTGCAACAGAGTACTCAGCCTCCAGGGGACATTGTCTGTTCTGAAAGCTGAACACTGTTCTATCCCCATGTTGTGATTCCTCGCCAGCCGGTGGATCCGGCAGCTGAGTCTGAGGACTCAGAGGAGGAGGACGGGCCTGGAGTGTCATCAGAGTCAGAGGGAGGCTCTGAGGAGCTCCAAGTCTTACAGTCAGACGAGGAGCTTGGCCCCTCTTCTCGCGCTCAGGCTGAGACACAGCTCTGCTGGGAGTCTAAGGGGGATAGTGACGACTCACAGTAAATGTGGGCAAGCAAAGAGAGCAGGACAGAGGAATGCAATGGGGCGGCTCCAGAGGCAAAGGAGCAAGCATTAGGAAAGCCACGCCTTGGCTGCATAATAAAAGGGGAGGTATGGGAGGTGCTGGTTGCCAAAGGCAACCGTTTGGGTTAAGAATCAAGTTGCTATGAACCTGTTTTCCTCAGGTCTGTGAATAATAAAAGGGGTTTGAGTTTGTCCTGCAGTTTCTGCCTGCTTGATTTGAAGAGGGCTTTTCTCCTTGTGAACTTAACAAGGAGCTCAAGTAGGCTGGGACAGAACACCCCAGTGGAATCCAGGGAAACACCTGCAGCTAAGAAAGGGATTAGAAATGGTGGAAAAGAAAGGGATTCACAAAGTGAATAAGTGACTATGTCATAATAAATTTGAAAAAAAAAGTTTCTATTTCTTAGTTCTGCTGAGGATGGTTACTATAGTAAATTTCAATATATTAATGATCTTTAAGAGGTTTAGAAAGGAAAGTAATTGTGGGTTAAATATATGTAATTGCTTTATATTTAAACCTGGAATTATTTGTATTTTCAAATATATTGTATTATAATTATAAGTTCATCTATTATTGATATGACTTGCATACCAGTATAGTGGGATGATAATTTTTTGATAGATTGGGCATGCCGCACTCACTTTAGGATTGTAACTTTCGTTCCATTCCGTAACATTTAATGAGTTTTTGACTTGAGAAAATTCTCATACCTTACTACCTCAATTCTTACTGTCGTCCGTGGCATTGCTTCATGTGCATTTCACATTTCATATAAAAATGTCTGTGCGATCATTTCCAATATCTAAGAGTGATGAGAATACTGAAGCTGAAATTGAATTTTGAGCTTAATGGATGCCATATAGCTGCTTGCTTGGAATGCATGTGCATTGCAAAGTCCTAAATAGAAATAGCACTTAGACTTATATATCGCTTCACAGTGCTTTATAGCCCTCTCTAAGCGGTTTACATAGTCAGCATATTATCCCCCCCCCCCCAACAATCTGGGTCCTCATTTTACTGACCTCGGAAGAATGGAGAGCTGAGTCAACCTTGAGCCGGTCAGGATCAATCTGCTGGCAGTCCACAGAATTAGCCTGCAATTCTGCCTCCTTTTTTAATGCAGTGCAGATTACAGTTCACTTATTATAGATTGTACTACAATATAATTTAGTTCAAAAAGCATTGATCAGAATTCTCTTTTTTTTTAATTTGACAATATAAAACTACAATGACTAAAATATGGCCATATCCATAGATTGGCTGCCTTGAAAGATTAAATAATTCATAGAGTAGTAATGGCTCTACTAATATAGCAGAAATGATCCTTTGCAGATAGAAGCTATTAAGAACTCCACTTTAAGTACCTATGCTTTTAGCAATTCACTTTATTATTGATTTTATATTTTAAGAGATTCCATGTTTTAAGATGTTTGTTTGTGGAATTAAGACTACAGTTTGGAATAAAATATAAACTTTATATCTGCACTGCAGAAATGTGTCTTATAATCCTGTGTTTGGTTTCATCATTAGACCAGATTGTATTTTCAATTGCATGTTCAGCATCCAAATAAGGAAGTACTTGAGATTCTTTTATCCATGATAGTATCTAGCTTCTATCCAAATGGAACCAATGGGGAACTTTATGTTACAAGATATTAATAGTGCCTTTGGCATTTGGTATTTAACAGTGTTTTAAAGTCAAATCTCTTAAATATCTTATAAAACAATTTATATTTGCAACTAATAATCTTCAATAATTGTGAAGATTGAAACCAAGAGTTAAAATATCTCAAAGGTATTGTGCAAGATTCAGCAATATATAAATGCACTATGTATATGTAGCAAATGGAACAAACTCTTAATACTGTGTTTTTATAACAGTTTACTTTATCATACTTGTTAGACTGTTCGTGCGGAGGGGCTTGTGTCTATATTGAAAAAAAGAGATGACAGTGAAGAAAAAACACTGGCTCAAATCCAGCAGAGACAGTCAAAAAGAAGAGTGAGATTCCAAGAAATGGAAGAATCATTAGAACAAGGTACTTACTCCTCATTAACTTTAACCCCAGAATTGTATAATCACATGAAATAAGAAACTATAAATATTCAAGTTACATATATGTGCCACCTCTGCTTATATTCCAAGAGTCATGAATGGGGAGATAGGTTGCTCTCAACTATAGGTAATACATGCAAACATTGTGTTGCACTGTTTTCTGGGAGATGGGTCATCCCATGAACCCTCACCCTTTTTGAGGTGGTGGCCAAATTTGGAACATTGAGCATGTGTTTTGGGCACTTTCACAAAATGTCTGCAATGAAAGGGGCCAGATAAAGCTTTGACTTAACTTAAGTGGAGACTCTTAGACTTTGTCATCCAAAAGGATAGGTCTTCAGTATCATGAGCTTATAAGTGCTTCTTTTCACATATCTTGATATTTTTATCTTATCATTTATGCACTATATAGAAGAGGATTTACATTGTTGTGATTTTACATTGTTGCTACAGATAAAGATAACATTCCTTATCGGCGTCACCTTTGCATTTGCTGGGACACATACATGAGTTTGTGACCCAGGAATTACTAGACTGTTCCCTATATCACATCTGGTCCTTTGATCTAACTGAATCATTTATTAGTAATCTTTTCCACCTCTTGTAACAAGTGATTATAAATTATCTTGTGAAATTCTTAACTATATCCATGACTATTAAAAATCAGTGGATTTGTTTTACAGCCAACTCCAGGTTTTATCTTTTCCACATACGGTACTTAACAGTTGTTGATTGCCTTGCTCCAGAATTTTCCACAAATTTAATTTGCCACTGGAATCTTGGCATCCTGCACAGCATTTTTTATTTTCTGCCAAGTTTGATTTACACATTTCTTGGCTTTTGTTATTCTCTTTCATTTTTGCATAATGTCATTGATATATACTGTATTTTGGTTTATGAATAAGGCAGGCAGGCAGGCAAGGGAGGGGAGGGGAGGGAAGAGGGGAGGAGAGGAGAGGAATTCTATACTTAAAACAATAGCACAGCCCTATGCTTGCCTATTCAGCAATATGTCTGTTCAATAATCCTTATTGCCAGTTAAGATTGTACTAATTTTATAAGTACAAATAGAAATAGAAATAGAAAATATCTATATTTATATAAAATAGAAGGCAAAATCAAAGTCAAACCCCAGATCCTATTAGAGCAGTGTTTCTCAACCTTGACAATTTTAAGGGATGTGGACTTCAACTCCCAGAATTCCACAGCCAGCAATGCTGGCTGTGGAATTCTGGGAGTTGAAGTCCACATCCCTTAAAATNTTCGAATTTATATCCCGCCCTTCTCCTTGCGGACTCAGGGCGGCTGACAATCAATTAAAAACACCAATAACAATCACAAAGTTAAAATTAATTAAAATGAAATATTTAAATTGTCTGATTAAAATATAATTAAAAACCCCTCTAAAAACCCCTCTTAAAAATTATCCTAGGCCAGTCCCGCTTGTTGGAACAGCCATGTTAAAGGTATTGTAAGATGTAATCTGTTCCAAGTAAAGCTGTCTTTTGTGATTGTCTGATGGTGGCTTTGTCACTCAGAGGGACTTACAGTAATGGAAAGATACAGGGTAAAAACATAACACCAAAGTCAATACTTTTAAAGACAGAATTAAAATCAGTATAATTAAAATCAATTAATAGGTAATAGCTTGGCTGTCTTTAGTTCCTTGTGTTGCCCTCTTTCTAACATCCAGAGGTCTTTGTACATCCTTTCTGCAACAGAGTACTCAGCCTCCAGGGGACATTGTCTGTTCTGAAAGCTGAACACTGTTCTATCCCCATGTTGTGATTCCTCGCCAGCCGGTGGATCCGGCAGCTGAGTCTGAGGACTCAGAGGAGGAGGACGGGCCTGGAGTGTCATCAGAGTCAGAGGGAGGCTCTGAGGAGCTCCAAGTCTTACAGTCAGACGAGGAGCTTGGCCCCTCTTCTCGCGCTCAGGCTGAGACACAGCTCTGCTGGGAGTCTAAGGGGGATAGTGACGACTCACAGTAAATGCGGGCAAGCAAAGAGAGCAGGACAGAGGAATGCAATGGGGCGGCTCCAGAGGCAAAGGAGCAAGCATTAGGAAAGCCACGCCTTGGCTGCATAATAAAAGGGGAGGTATGGGAGGTGCTGGTTGCCGAAGGCAACCGTTTGGGTTAAGAATCAAGTTGCTATGAACCTGTTTTCCTCAGGTCTGTGAATAATAAAAGGGGTTTGAGTTTGTCCTGCAGTTTCTGCCTGCTTGATTTGAAGAGGGCTTTTCTCCTTGTGAACTTAACAAGGAGCTCAAGTAGGCTGGGACAGAACACCCCAGTGGAATCCAGGGAAACACCTGCAGCTACCTGCAGCTAAGAAAGGGATTAGAAATGGTGGAAAAGAAAGGGATTCACAAAGTGAATAAGTGACTATGTAATAATAAATTTGAAAAAAAAGTTTCTATTTCTTAGTTCTGCTGAGGGTGGTTACTATAGTAAATTTCAATATATTAATGATCTTTAAGAGGTTTAGAAAGGAAAGTAATTGTGGGTTAAATATATGTGATTGCTTTATATTTAAACCTGGAATTATTTGTATTTTCAAATATATTGTATTATAATTATAAGTTCATCTATTATTGATATGACTTGCATACCAGTATAGTGGGATGATAATTTTTTGATAGATTGGGCATGCCGCATTCACTTTAGGATTGTAACTTTCGTTCCATTCCGTAACATTTAATGAGTTTTTGACTTGAGAAAATTCTCATACCTTACTACCTCAATTCTTACTGTTGTCTGTGGCATTGCTTCATGTGCATTTCACATTTCATATAAAAATGTCTGTGCGATCATTTCCAATATCTAAGAGTGATGAGAATACTGGAGCTGAAATTGAATTTTTAGATTAATGGATGCCATATAGCTGCTTGCTTGGAATGCATGTGCATTGCAAAGTCCTAAATAGAAATAGAAATAGCACTTAGACTTATATATCGCTTCACAGTGCTTTATAGCCCTCTCTAAGCGGTTTACATAGTCAGCATATTATCCCCCCCCAACAATCCGGGTCCTCATTTTACTGACCTCGGAAGAATGGAAAGCTGAGTCAACCTTGAGCCGGTCAGGGTCAAACTGCTGGCAGTCCACAGAATTAGTCTGCAATTCTGCCTCCTTTTTTAATGCAGTGCAGATTACAGTTCACTTATTATAAATTGTACTACAATATAATTTAGTTCAAAAAGCATTGATCAGAATTCTCTCTTTTTTAATTTGACAATATAAAACTACAATGACTAAAATATGGCCATATCCATAGATTGGCTGCCTTGAAAGATTAAATAATTCATAGAGTAGTAATGGCTCTACTAATATAGCAGAAATGATCCTTTGCAGATAGAAGCTATTAAGAACTCCACTTTAAGTACCTATGCTTTTAGCAATTCACTTTATTATTGATTTTATATTTTAAGAGATTTCATGTTTTAAGATGTTTGTTTGTGGAATTAAGACTACAGTTTGGAATAAAATATAAACTTTATATCTGCACTGCAGAAATGTGTCTTATAATCCTGTGTTTGGTTTCATCATTATACCAGATTGTACTTTCAATTGCATGTTCAGTATCCAAATAAGGAAGTACTTGAGATTCTTTTATCCATGATAGTATCTAGCTTCTATTCAAATGGAACCAATTGAGAACTTTATGTTACAAGATATTAATAGTGCCTTTGGCATTTGGTATTTAACAGTGTTTTAAAGTCAAATCTCTTAAATCTCTTATAAAACAATTTATATTTGCAACTAATAATCTTCAATAATTGTGAAGATTGAAACCAAGAGTTAAAATATCTCAAAGGTATTGTGTAAGATTCAGCAATATATAAATGCACTATGTATATGTAGCAAATGGAACAAACTCTCAATACTGTGTTTTTATAACAGTTTACTTTATCATACTTGTTAGACTGTTCGTGCGGAGGGGCTTGTGTCTATATTGAAAAAAAGAGATGACAGTGAAGAAAAAACACTGGCTCAAATCCAGCAGAGACAGTCAAAAAGAAGAGTGAGATTCCAAGAAATGGAAGAATCATTAGAACAAGGTACTTACTCCTCACTAACTTTAACCCCAGAATTGTATAATCACATGAAATAAGAAACTATAAATATTCAAGTTACATATATGTGCCACCTCTGCTTATATTCCAAGAGTCATGAATGGAGAGATACTGTAGGTTGCTCTCAACTATAGGTAATATATGCAAACATTGTGTTGCACTGTTTTCTGGGAGATGGGTCATCCCATGAACCCTCACCCTTTTTGAGGTGGTGGCCAAATTTGGAACATCGAGCATGTGTTTTGGGCACTTTCACAAAATGTCTGCAATGAAAGGGGCCAGATAAAGCTTTGACTTAACTTAAGTGGATACTCTTAGACTTTGTCATCCAAAAAGATACGTCTTCAGTATCATGAGCTTATAAGTGCTCCTTTTCGCATATCTTGATATTTTTATCTTATCATTTATGCACCATGTAGAAGAGGATTTACATTGTTGTGATTTTACATTGTTGCTACAGATAAAGATAACATTCCTTATCGGAGTCACCTTTGCATTTGCTGGGACACATACATGAGTTTGTGACCCAGGAATTACTAGACTGTTCCCTATATCACATCTGGTCCTTTGATCTAACTGGATCATTTATTCCACCTCTTGTAACAAGTGATTATAAATTATCTTTTGAAATTCTTAACTATATCCATGACTATTAAAAATCAGTGGATTTGTTTTACAACCAACTCCAGGTTTTATCTTTTCCACATACTTAACAGTTGTTGATTGCCTTGCTCCAGAATTTTCCACAAATTTAATTTGCCACTGGAATCTTGGCATCCTGCACAGCATTTTTTATTTTCTGCCAAGTTTGATTTACACATTTCTTAATTGGCTTTTGTTATTCTCTTTCATTTTTGCATAATGTCATTGATATATACTGTATTATCTTGGTTTATGAATAAGGCAGGCGGGCAAGGGAGGGGAGGGGAGGGAAGAGGGGAGGAGAGGAGAGGAATTCTATACTTAAAACAATAGCACAGCCCTATGCTTGCCTATTCAGCAATATGTCTGTTCAATAATCATTATTGCCAGTTAAGATTGTACTAATTTTATAAATACAAATAGAAATAGAAATAGAAAATATCTATATTTATATAAAATAGAAGGCAAAATCAAAGTCAAACCCCAGATCCTATTAGAGCAGTGTTTCTCAACCTTGACAATTTTAAGGGATGTGGACTTCAACTCCCAGAATTCCACAGCCAGCAATGCTGGCTGTGGAATTCTGGGAGTTGAAGTCCACATCCCTTAAAATTGTCAAGGTTGAGAAACACTGTATTAGAGTGAGTGGTTATATTGATTTTGATATGCTACCATTATTTTCAGCTTCTATTTTAGGCTGGGTATGTTATTTGTTTTTATTTATTGGTAATATTTTTATTTTGTTGTGTTAACCACCTGTAATTATGTATATAAGATGGGTGGCCATATAAATTTATTAAATAAATAAATAAATGAAATACAGTATTCTTATGCAGTATTTCCAGTGGAGGGTGGGGATGTTAATCTTATATTGAAATATTACAGACTCTCATAAATTCAATCCCACAGCAATGTATAACTTTACTATTAAAAATATCAATAAATTAAACAGCCCATTAATAGAATCAAAAATATTTGTGTAAGTTAATATGTTTGGGAAAAGCTAGCATAAAAATGCATGGATTTTATTTTTCCATCCATAAATAAATGGAATAAAATTACACAGGCATTGTTCACTTAAAAATGGTAATTGGGATGTCACTAAGCAGTGCAATCAGAAAGTGTGACATTGTGACCAACGGCTTAGCGCCAGCTGTTTTTACTCTTCTGGTTGCCATTGTTAAGCAATTCCATACCGCTATAAAGTGGGTTAAGCTATTAGCAATCTTCTACTGACTTTCCCATGTACTTTGCTTGTCAGAAGCTAGTAGGCCAGGGTCACAAATGACAATCATGAGATTGCAGGATGCTGCAAAATTTTAATTGCAAGCTGATCGCAAAGCAGTCACATCAAGATCACATGACCCTGTGGACTCTGCAAAGGCTGGAACTTTGAGATCCAGTCATAAGTACCACTCATTAGTGCCGTCATTACTTCAAATCGTCATGGAATGAGTGGTTGTTAAGCGAAGACTACCTATAGAAGCAAATTATGAACACAAATAATTATTTTATTGTGCACATTTTCTTCCGTGAAAGCAAAAGAAGGAAGCCTATTGCCTAATTCTTTCTTTGGGCCAATATTGACATTTGTCTCTAGCTTTGCTCTGCCTTGGTAGAGGAAGTTGCTGGTTCTGGACATTTATTTGGCTATTTCAGTGTTGAGGAATGTACACAGTGCAGGTAAGTAAAGTATTTCAATTATTTGTCATTCTATTCACTCTGTGTCATTCATCTTCTTTCTACAGAGGACGCTGGAGCTGGCTCCTGCATTTTGCTGATCTTACTGTGCATAGCAACTGTATTCTTTAGTATTGGAGGAACAGCATTGTACTGTACCTTGGGCAACACAGAATCTGCAGTATGTACTGATTTTGCTGCCAATGTGGATTTTTACCATAGCCAGATACGGAAGGGTATAGAAGAAATCAAACACTGGATATCTTTATAATAAAAGAAGAAATATGAACATATAGTAATATTTTACTGTCGCAGAAGAAAGAAAAATAGTTGAAGCGTTGAATAATTTGGCACTTTCAGAAGAAGTAACATGACATGGGAAGCATCTGTGTTGTACATAGGAGTTAATGTCCAGTAATTACCTAGAGTTATTGATCAACTTTCATGAGGCAGCATAAGAGACTGTCCTAATGTACTCCTTTTGAAATGCTCAGAACAATCTTCTGTTTACCAACTTAGAAAAGAAAAAGAAATTCATCTTTCCTAAAATTTCCAATCCTCATACAGTCATATGCAATCTCTGTAAATTTTAATACAAAACAGCTGATTTTCCTTATTTCATAATGCAAAGATATTGTCTCCAGTTATCATGCAATAAGTTCATATTTAATGGAAACAAACCTTATTTAAGAATCATGTATTTTATGTTGTTAATTTCGATGAATTGTAATAATTTGAGTATGGCAATGGTACACATAGCAGCCTCCTCCATTTAGATGTTATTTAATTGTGCAGCATTTTACAATGTAGTAGTTGTAATAAGTGATGTATTCATTATTTTCATATACAGCCTTGGCAAAATATGCAGAGTTTTAGTAATAGAATCCTTAAAATGGATTTATAAAACAGGTTCTCTATATAAAACCAAATATAAAATATGGCTCATTTCAGTGCCAGTAATAGCCATCCAGGATTAGTTGGAATAAGGTAGCATCCAGATTGAATAAATAAATAAATAAATTGTGATTCACATTTTTAAAAAAGGGTTCACTTTGCATTTATTTTTTTAGATCCATTTTTATAGTATTGTGAGTGTTCATCTAACACGGTAAAGTGGAACACAACAAATATATTTACAAGCACTGACATAAAACATCTGAATTTGACAGACATTTTTTCTCTTGAGTGTGATTCTAGTAACAAAAGTGGGTTTCTTCTCCATTACAAGCCAAAATGGCGGCTTGACAATGTTAAATCCCCTTTTGGTTTTATTAAAACTACTGATTTATATTTCTCCAAATTATAAAGAAAAAAATAAACTGAAAAAGTGTACCTTAGAATGAAGGTATCAGACATATACTGTAATTTCTTTATTTGAATATTGTGAAAGTTTGAAAGTCGGGTGGCAGACAAGTTTATTTTGGTTAATTGCACAATCAGCCAGATATTTAGACTGGATTTGGCTTTTTTTTTTAAATCTTTACCCTTCACAAGAATCTGGGATAGGCAGATGTTGATTAATATTATTATTTGATTAATATTATTATTTGATTAATATTATTAAGGTATCATCACAGGATATAAAGTATCCTGTGTTCAAAGTAAAGCTGCTTTTTGCAACTGACCGGTGTGATTTTTGTCAATACTAATGATGCTGAGTGGTGCTGCAAGAATTTTGGGACTGTACTCAGGGCACCTATCATTGTTTTCTTTCATCACAGTTGTTCTGCTTCTATTTGCAGGCTTTTATATTTCGTGATTTTTCCAGTTCTTTCTCTTCTATGCTGCTGTCTCCAGGCACTGCAATGTCTACTGTCCAGACCTTTTTGTCTTTCCTATCAACGGTTGTTAAGTCTGTTGTCAAGCAGATGCTTGACTGTCTGAGTTCCCAGTTCTTGCTTCCAGGCAAGTGGTATTTCTTGCAGATATTCAGTTTTTACTTTGTCATATTGTTGTTTGTAATCAGTTTGCAATTTTCTTTCAATAGGAGGTACACTGTTTTTTCAGCTTCTTTGCAGAGAAGGCATTTGCAGTCTGTTGCGGTCTGACTTTATATGCGTTTGTTCTTAAGACGTGGTCTTATGCAGCCAGAATTACTTCCTCTGTTTCTTTCTTCAACTTTCCTGCTCTTAGCCATTGCCAGGTCTTGTTGTGTGATGTGCCTGCTAGGCTTTTTTAATGTATTGGCCTTGCCATATATTCTATTCTATTCTATTCTATTCTATTCTATTCTATTCTATTCTATTCTATTCTATTCTATTCTATTCTACCTTCCTTACAGAGCTTACGTAGCTTTGATATTCAGTACTAGTATCTTCTTCCCTGGCCTTCAGATATTCTTCCAATGCCTTTTCTTCTTCTTCAACTATCTGGTGTATCCATATCCACCTATGCTCCTTGGTAAATAGAGTCTGTCAATGTCACTGCATGGGTGAAGGGTATGAGTCACTGTCATTTTTCTGGTCTTTCTATCCAGGGTTTCTACTTCATCTTAAATCCACTCCACTATTCCACTGTAATCTAATCCACTGTATATCTAATGACTAGAATTACCCAGGTGTTAATCACTTTGATGGTATTTCTGCCATTGTGTTTGGATTTTAAAATTTTCTTCACTCTTCTGATGTCCTTTACTACTAACCTTTTTTATTTCAGTATGCTTGCTGTTGTTAGCCTGAAAAATGCCCAGGTATTTATAATGAACTTCTTCATCCAGATTCCTAATATTATTTGCATAGGGTGTTTCTACTGACTCTTGTTATTTCTAGGCACTTGATTATTCAGTCATATGGCAGGGAACTTGTAATCCACCAAAGTATGTTCAAGTTGGTCTTCCTTCTCTTACAATTTTCCAATATTATCTTGTCAATTAGGAACTGCTTTTTTTAAACTTTCTGATATTTGGGTGATTTCCTTTCTGCTCAGATACTCAGCTTGTTTTCAACTAGATGCTGTTGAACTGCATCAACTACCAGACTAGTTAGCAATTTGAAAATTGTTGGCAAGCAGGTAATTGGCCTGTAGTTGACTAGTGCTGCCACTTTTGTTGGATCTTTCATTATCAGGAAGGTTTTACCAGATGTTAACCAATCTTCAATTTCACCTACTTGCACCATGTTGTTAGCTTGGCAATAAATGGGTATAGACCAATCAGATGTTCCAAGCAAAAAACATACAGTTCATATTCATCTGATGCTGAACAATTGTTGATAGAAGCAGCCCAAATCATGCAGTTGTATCACCGGAAATCTTTCTCCCTGCAGTACAGTACACAATTCCACATTTTATTATTTTGCTTTAATCATCAATTTGTTATCCCAGTTACTAATTTCTTTTAAAATTCAAAGGCATAACTTTGCAAGACAGCTGTGCAGGAAGAATGTTTGTGTTTTTGATACCCTAGAGTTATATCTATTTCTAAGGCTATATGCTTTTAAAGATTTCATGCAATCAGATTGATTGTAGCTGTTTAGTTCCATAATGAATAAACTGTAGTCCATTTTAAAATAATGTTACATACCACTGCATTTGATTAAAGACTACCTAGTCTAAAACAGCTTCAATAACTACAAGTCATGCTATAAAGCTACTCCACTAATTACTCTTTCAATGTAATTATAGGTCCTAATAATGTCATTTATGAAAACTACATTAATTTGCTAATCTTTCAGTATGGTTATCTGCTACCGTTATCCATAGAATTAACAACAGAGTTGCTGTACAAACTAATATATAGGCAGAAATTGTACAGTAGCAATGGTAATATTGAGAAAATAATTGAACACTTTTAAAAAGTCAATTTCATCAAGTATTGTTTTAGTATTTTCAGCTAAATAATTACCAGGGTTTTGTTATGAAGTAATATTTACAGTTAATCAAAAGTTCTGCATGTTGTGGTTTGAATTTCCTCAGTCTATTTCATTTTTTTCAAGTATGTAGTCATGGGCCAATTGTACAAAATACATACAAAGGAGTAGACAAAACAATCATTTTGTTTATTACTATAAAAAAACTTAGAAGTAATAAAGAATGTTCATCACATTAAGTAAAGGATACCCCTTTACAATTATTTGCCATGATTTCAGTAGTTAGTCCCTAACTTTAAGGCTGCCGTGGGAAAATATGCTATACATAGATATCTAGGCAACATAGATAGATAGAAAAAGAATTCCTTGAAGCCTGGTTCTCCTCCAATAAGTCAATAAACATTGACATCGACCCAATCTACCAATCGCTGAGAACGAAAGAACTACTTCAACCCAATCCCAAAGGCAACTTCCCACACACAAGAAACTAGACCACATCTTGACAACAACAGCCAACCAATCAGACAAATACCATTTGCATCACACAGGCAATACTTAAACACCAAGGACTATGGCCCAGCAACAACAACCAACCAATCAAACAACCTGAAACCAGACCATGACTCAGAAACATCCAGACAAATAATACTAACACCAATTTACATCACACAAAAAGGTATTTAAAGGCCAGTGCTCTGACAGACGAGCACAATTCAAAGCACACTGAAGATGTCCCCCCAACTGGAGACAAAACATTTGCAGCCAAATCGCCAAGCTCAGAGGTCAAACCCAACAGCCCAACTGCCAAGCCAAGCTACTATTATTCAAACACATCTCAAATCTGGAAAGCGTTATGATCTGCCTGCCAACCCTCAAATCATACTCCAGAAATCCAGTCTCTAAGGGTTACATAATTCAGCAGAAGCCTATCAATGAATGAGAGAGAAAGTTCTTTCTTCAGTGTTTTGCAATTCTAATTAGCCAAAGATTATCCTTTAATAAATGTATAATTTAATATTAATGGTTTTGTGAAGCCAAGCTTTCACTAAATGTTGGGTAAGCTTTATTTAAACCCAATGAAAGAAGTAGAAAACTATGTGAAAGTTAGGCAAGAATATATTAATATAAAAATTAAAAGAGTGCTAAAAGCCCTTCATGTGTCCTAAGTCATGATATCATTAATGAAAAGCCATATAAAGATATTTAAATGAAGTTGGTGAGAATGGGAGATACTTGTCTTTGTTAATTGCTGCTAGTTTGTCCCACAACTTTATTAATAGAGCCAAAAGCACCTTTCAAATCCACCAATGAATATACTAGTGAGAATTAGAAAATAGTTAAAAGTAACATCTCTGTTCTTAAAATCTATTTATTCATACAGATAAAAAAAAAATTCCCCAGTCTTCCAGCTTCTGCAGCAGTAAACATGAATACAGCCTGGTTGGTATAACCAGTAGATAAATTGGGCAATATTTATTTGGATTTTGTTTGTTGCCTGTTTTGTAAATAGAGATCATTATACCAAGGATCTGGGCCTTCTGATCCTATGTCTATGTCTTATATATTTGAATAATTTAGCAAGGAGTGACTGCCATCCTTTTACAAAGGCTTAAATACCTTAGGGGCAGAACTAACGTTTGCAAGAATGCATAATATCCAACAACTATTTTGATATTGACCATTTTTATGGTAACAATTTCTACCTGGTGCATCTGCATTTCATATGTTCCTCTGATTTCACTACTTTCAATGTTCCCCATCATATATTTACATATGCATATATACTGTATATGCTCAACTCAAGATAACATTGCATGCACCTGATAAGTGGAACATCATGTAATAATAAATGTATTAAATATTAAAATAAAAGGGATTAAACAAATTAAAAATGGAAAAGAATAAACAGAAATAGCATTAGCTGAACTTTATTGGCATGCTGTCATGCTTATTTCTTAATTTTTAGGGCTATGGGCTCTACTTTTTTTACTTTTCAATGAATATTTTTCATTGTGGAAACTGCTGGTAAACCTTCTGCATTTGGTTGAAAAACAGGCATGTCCTAAAATGCATAGTTAGTTGAACAGGGTATAACATACTTGCCATCCCTGTGTGTGAAATCTTGTGCCTTAAATTTTATCTGTGTGAACTCTGAAATGGAGAAAATCATGGTATAAACAATTGTGTTTTGGGCAATCTGTCTCCGTAATTCACTGAAAAATTTAATTGAGTATTTCAGGGCTACTAAAGAAGATATTTAAACTTTACTGAGGAAGATGCAGGTATAATGTTGATTCAATAATGGATATAGTTGTCTTTGAAAGTAGAATTTGCTTTGTAGGATGTATCTAAAAAAGTTTACTAAGTGGCTTGATCTGCACTAAACGTCTGTCATCATGACATACAGTATTTTGAACTTCTTAATGGAAAAAAGTAATTGCCTAATGTTACTGGGCATTGTTTAAACCTCAGATGCAGTTAAATGGCTTCTTAAACATGACCATTGAACATCATACTTTTATGCTTTTATCTTTTGCTATTCTATGCC